ACTGAGATATAAACATCAACAAATATAAAAAGGGAAAGAAACAAAAAAAGAAAATCTTACCATTTGCCTTATCTGATATACCAAGGGCCTGGCTTAATTCAGTAGCCAGTGAATGCTGAGAAACTACAACAAGAAGACTTTGAAGCTCATTCTCATCATAAGTAGAGGTCAAGTCATATGCAGTAAGAAGCAATAAAAATCCCAAAACCTCTAACCAATTTTCTACCACCGCAATCATCTTATCCTTCCAATCGCCTACCAACTTCTTTGCTTCTCCTCTCACCTGAGGATTAATTTGTGGTGAGACCCTCTTTAACTCTTGTAACAGAAGAATACAACTCCTTCTAATAACGCTCAAATCAAAGTCACACTCCCAGTTTTCCACAACCGAATTTGAAGGGTAAAACCCTTGCATTGCATCCAAAACTAATTTGGCTAGGTCTGATGACGCTTGAAGAATCGCTGCGATTTCGGTACCCAATAAATCATGTCTCTTCAAATGCTCATTCAGGAACAACTGCAAGTCTCTACCATTCCTGTAGCTGCGGGACTGGATACTTTTGGACAAAGGAACAGTGGCATTGTTACCAGGAGTATGTTCCAATTGCTCAATCTTCGCTTGAGAATCAAGGATATTAGTCTTCTTCTTCAATCTCCTTTTTTTTGTATTAGTTTCAGTGGATTTTCGTATCGAATCAACTTCTTTCTGCTTCAATTCAAGCTCTTTGGCCTGTTGTTCAAGTTGCCTCTCTTTCAATTTAAGTCCATAGGAGAGTGAATCCAAATTCTTTTCACGTTCCTGTATCGATTTTTGGAGTGAATCTAAATGTTTCTCTTGCAACTGAACCTCATTGAGGCATTCATTGACCCTCTTATCCATCAAATGGAGTTCCTCGAGTTGTGGCTCAAATTGTTTCTCTGTCAGTTCAAGCTTCTCAAACCATCCTTCAAGTTCCCTCTCTTTAAATTCAAGTTCACTGGACCACTCCTCCATTGATTTCTTAAGCAAATAAAAATCTCTCACTTTCAACTCCATTTCCCTAATTATGTTCTCTTTGGATTCCAAAGTATTAGAGCATTCCTCCAATGATCTCTGAACCAAACCAAGTTCCTCCTTTTTCAATTTCATCCTATCGTCACATTCTTCAATAGATATTTGAGCTGCGTTAATTTGCTCTTCTCTCAAATTATATACTTTCTTGCTCTCCTCAATCATTCCCATCATCCAATTTAATTGCCTCTCTTGCAACTCAATATCCTCTCTGCACTTGTTTAATACCCCCTGAACCACTTCCACTTCCTCCTTCTTAGACTCAGCCTCCTTGGACCTCTCTTCTACACATTTCATAACCCAATTCAATTTCTTTGTGCGCTCTTTAACACGTTTATCAATAAAATCACACTCCCTCTCTTTCTCTCCAACCAATCTCTGAAGTTCTGAGAATCGCTTCTCTTTAACATCAAGCTCTTCATTATGCTCTTCAATCAGTAACTTAAGCGATTGCAAGTTGAAGTGGTGTTTACCTGATTCAACCTCTTCGATCGATTTCTCAACTCCACGCAATTTCTCGGCTTTGGACGCCATCTCCGAGTCAAAATTCAACTCTAAGGCTCCCAAACGCTTCTCTCGGTCGTCAATTTTCTTCTCGCGGTTCTCCAGTTCTCGGAGTCGGGTCTGGAGCGAGTTCCGGGTCGACTCAAAGTGGTCCTCAAGCTCCTTCCACTGCACACCAAAGTGGAGGATAGATGAAGCTTGGGCATGCAAGGCTTCGTAGGCCTGGCCGAGACAGCTCTGCTTCGTCTCAGACATTTTCAAATCCGAGGCTATCTTCTCCATAACCGTACGGTACAGACGCCGTGGTGGTGGTGGTGGTGGAGAATGAAGATTGAAAGTTGGAAGAAGACGAGAAAACCCTAGCGCCTAGTCGGAGCTTTCCCGCCTGTGACGATTTCGCTTTCTGAAACCCTAAACCAGAGAGAGTGTATCAGAGAGTGAGAACAGAAGAAGAAGAAGAGAGAGCGTTGTGTTGTAAGGGAGAGAGTGGCACAACTTTCACGTTCACGTATCCTTCTCAAGTCTCTATATAATTTCTCTCTCCCTATGAGGAGGGACCACTCAAGCATGCAAGGTGCCACGTGTCCAAATCCAGTCCAACTCGTCATTGACCTGTTTTAATTCTGGATTTAGCGCTTAATCTCTTCCTTTTCTTTTTTTTTTTTTCTTTTTTTTTTTTGGTCTGAACCACGAGGGGGTCCTGGATGGGCTCCAACTATGGATGACACCTTTAAGCCTTAACCACAACCCAGACTAATCCCCGTTCACACCGGGTCGGCCCGTAAGGAGTAAAGTGCTGGCCAAAGTGGTGACTCCCTACGAGAGCAGGGATCGAACCCCTGACCTCTCTTAAGGAATGAGGGTGCCGAACCACTCACACCAACCACCTTGGTTATCTCTTCCTTTTCTTTTTTTTTTTTGGTCTGAACCACGAGGTGGTCCTGGATGGGCTCCAACTATGGATGACACCTTTAAGCCTTAACCACAACCCAGACTAATCCCCGTTCACACCGGGTCGGCCCGTAAGGAGTAAAGTGCTGGCCAAAGTGGTGACTCCCTACGAGAGCAGGGATCGAACCCCTGACCTCTCTTAAGGAATGAGAGTGCCGAACCACTCACACCAACCACCTTGGTTATCTCTTCCTTTTCTTTCGTTTAAAGTAATTTAATTATTAGTGAAAATAAAATAAATTTTAATCTATCTATATATAAAGCAAAAGATAAAGAATTGTGAAACATTCAAAATACCAGAAAATGACCTTAATTAATACAAAAATAAAAAATGAAATTATTAATTAAATGAAAAGAATATGATTAATTTATATTTTTTCTATTAAAATAATTCAAATTAAAAACAAAATCAGATAATAGGTCTTATTTATATGAAACATAATTTTTTTTAAATTTTAAAATATAAATAAATAAACAAAACAGAAAACCAATTGCTAAACACGTGAGCGTGTGTTATTAGTAAAAAAACTCATTTAATTATTATGTCAATGGCTTTTCTTTTTTCTTTTAAATTATAATGTCGAGGTCTTATAATTAAGCCTTTCATTGTTTTAACATTTAGTTGGTTTATTATTTATTTATGGTAAATTTTTTTAAAAAGAAAATTAGAAAGTTCACTGCCCCATTAATTGCATCCCATGGAATTAGAAGTTTCCAGAACTGCGAATCCTTCCTTGAAAGACTTGCCCGCTTGCTAACATTAGTGGGATTACCAACCTCTTAGAATAAAAATAATATTTTCCAAATCTGATTTTATAACAACAAACTCTGCAGCAAAAGAAAATAGTCCGATGTTTGAATCAGTGGATGATAGAAATTACATCACGTGTGAAAGAGCTTTAGGTTCGGTATGAAAGCAAATCATGGGGGTGAACCAAATGTACATCAGTGGATGCTGCGTTAAAATCATCAACATAAACATCTAACCTAGAACAAGAAAAAAAACCAAAAACATTGTATGAACAGTAAAAACATGTTCTCAAATATTGGACAACCAAAGAAGAGCTAAGGTACCTTTTCTTTTTCTTGCGAATTCTCTTGTTACAGAGCTACAAACACCTATGGCCAAAACACTGTAAATAGCAAAATTGTGTACAAAGAGAGCCTATCAAGGAATAAACAAGATTGATGGTAAGCTAAACACAAACAGCACAATGGAACACAATATGACAATACATATTCAAGAAACTTACTAGGGATCTTATCTGTAAAACTGAGATTCTGACATAATTCCCGAGTCTGTTTATCCTGAGAAATCCTCCCAAGAAGCGATACCATATCATATCTAGTCAAGGTAGAAAGCAAACCATATTTAGCAATAAACTGCCAAAAATCCCAATGTTCCCATTTTTGCCTTCCACTGGATTGCTAGCTTTCTTGCATCGTCCTTCGCATGAGGTCCAATATGCGGTGAGACACAAATTAGCTGCTCCAATAGGTTGATGTAACTCAACATGACAGTTTCTTTAGAACGAACAACCACATTTCCCCAGTAGAGAAGCCAAAGTTTCACTTCGTATTAAATGATTCCCTCTCGCAAGCTCATGTACAAACCCCTGCAAATTCCTGGCATCTGTAGTAGCAGTTAGTTGAAGATTCGGAGAAGAAACACCTGCTGCAATTTTTGTCAAAGGCTGCCAAGCAGGGATGAAGTCAAAGTATTCGTGGGAAATGGAGAAAAAGTTCAAGTAGACTACATAGGGACAATTAAAATAGAGCTAGATTTTGGTTTTGTTTTGGAATCAGATGAGGTAGTTTATGTTCCTTTTATGAAGAAGAGTTTATGTCAATTACTAGACTCGCAAAATCAAAATTCAATTTGAATTTTGATGGAACTGGTTGTTCCATTTTCAGAAATAAAGATTTAGTTGGCAAAGCAAGTCTTATTGATGGAATGTTTCGACTCAACTGCAAAAGAATTAAAATGGAAGTAAACACAGTGCAAACCAAAATCAATGAAGTCTCATATAGATTATGGCATCAAAGGCTTGGACATGTTTCAAAAGAAAGGATAACTCATCTATGCAAAGAATTAATCATACCACCATTGAATCATGAAAACACATATGAAGTATGCATTGAATGTGTCAATGGCAAATTAACAAATTTGAGGAAAAAAGGAGCAATAGGAAGCAAAGGTGTTCTAGAACTCATCCACACAGACATTTGTGGATCTTTCCCAAATCCAACTCATGAAGGATTCATCTACTTCATAACCTTTACAGACGATTTTTCAAGGCATGGACATGTTTTTCTCATTAAAGAAAAATCAAGTGCCTTAGACATGTTCAAAATTTACAAAGCTGAAGCAGAAAATCAACTGAATCTCAAAATTAAAGTGGTTCGATCAGATAGAGGTGGAGAATACTATGGAAGGTTTGATGAGACTTGGAGAAATCCTGGTTCTTTTGCAAAATTCCTTCAACAAGAAGGAATCATGGCTCAATATACAAATCCAGACACTCCTCAATAGAATGGAATCTCATAAAGAAGAAACAGAACCTTAAAGGATATAATAAGAAGTATGATGAGCTGTACCAACTTACCAATTTTTCTATGGGGAGAAGCTCTTAAAACTGCCAACTATATCCTTAATAGAATTCCAATTAAAAGAATAAATCAGATTCCCTATGAAGTATGAATGAAAGGAAACCAAGCATCAAACATTTTAGGGTATGGGGTTGTAAAGCAGAAGCAAAGCCTTATAATCCTGATCCGAGAACTTTAAGTTGCTATTTTGTTGGTTACCCATAGAGAACAAAGGGATATAGATTCTACTGTCCTCATTACACTACAAGATTCATAGAGACATCTAGGGCAGTTTTTATAGAGATTGACAAAGAAAGAACTAAAGAAGAGAGTTTCGATTTTGAGGAAATAACAATGGACCATGTTACAGTTCAAGATTCCGAAGAAGGAATTTTCAGATTGCCACAAATTGATACAAACATCACTCAATCGGATCACACTGAAGAAACAGCTGCATATCAAGTTAGAACTGCAGAACCAATGCTTATAAATGACAATCAAGCACAACTAGCAGAAAACCAAAATATGATTCAGACACAAGAAACAAATAACTCACAATCAGATATGGAATTAAGGAGGTCACAGAGGCAATGAAGACCTACTTTGGGAGATGATTACTTTGTGTAAATAGCACATGAGATCCTACAACTTTCAAACAAGCCATGATGAGTGAAAAGAGTGAAAACTTGTGGGCAGCAATGAAATCAAAATTGAATTCAATGGAGAAGAATGGAGTTTGGAAGCTTGTAACTCTGCCTTAAGACAAAGAAACACTCAAAAGGGATATAAGGCAAGATAGGTTGCCAAAGGTTTTACACATAAGGAAGGAATCGATTACAATGAGAGTTTCTCACCAGTCTCAACTAAAGATTCATTAAGGATAATTATGGCACTTATAGCACATTTTAATCTACACTTGCATCAGATGGATGTTAAAACTGCATTCCTTAATGAAGATTTTGAAGAAGAGATTTACAGGATGCAACCAGAAGGCTTCATTCAAGAAAAGAAGCAGAATTTAGTCTGCAAGTTGTGCAAATCAATTTATGGACTAAAGCAAGCCTCAAGAAAATGGTATTTGAAATTCAACAAGGTTGTGAAGGCATATGGATTCACAAAAAATGCATTGGATGAGTGCATTTATATGAAGATGAGTGGGAGACATTTCATTATCCTGGTTCTCTATGTGGATGCCATTTTATTGGCTTGTACAAATCTCACTATGTTACATGATTGTAAAAGTTTTATGTTCAAACATTTTGACATGACTGATCTGGCAGAAGCAACCTATGTATTGGACATAGACATAAGTAGAAATCGAGAGAAGGGTTTGCTTGTACTATCACAGAGATCTTATATAGAGAAAGTGCTTAAAAGATTCAACATGCAGGATTGTGCAGGAAATGATGTTCCCATTGCAAAAGGAGATAAGTTAAGCACTGAGCAGGCACCTAAAACTGAACCAGAGAAGATTGAAATGGCTGACAAACCCTATGCTTCACTAGTGAGGAGTTTAATGTATGCACAAGTGTGTACAAGACTTGATTTGGCTTTTGCAGTTAGCATGTTAGGAGATTTCAGTCAAACCATGGACAAGCACATTGGGTTGCAATGAAGAAGGTTATGAGATACTTGCATAGAATAAAAGACTACAAACTGGTATTCAAGATAAGTGAGCAACTGGAATTACAAGGATTTACAGATGCTAACTTTGGGTTTAGGATGCCAAGATACATTAAAATCTACAACTGATTTTGTGTTTATGTTTGGAGGAGTTGCAGTATGGAGAAACATTAAACAACCTCTCACAGCTGGATCAACAATGCTTGCTGAATTTCTAGCATGTTATGAAGCCACTTCTCAAGCTATGTGGTTAAGAAATTTCATTCTTAGTTTGAATGTGGTAGAATCTATTCACAGACCTATTCAACTTTGGAATGACAATAG